CCCTCTCCCTCCCTCCCGGGCCCTGGTTCCCTCCCCCGCTCCCAGACCCGGCCTGTTTGTTTTTTGTTTTTTTTTTAAGCAACTCTCCCACAGTGAAACTCTATTTCTGGAGTGGTCTGCATACCATGGCTACTCCAATTTGCGTATAAAATATTGGCTTTTTCTCCTTAACTCAGGATACATGCAAAGAGTAATTCCAGTTTCATAACTTCCCACAGAGGTGCCTGAGACCTTCATTGAGATTGCACTGACACTCAGCTTCTTCTTTTCCAGTTTTGATTTTTCTTCCTACTCATTTCTGTAAATATTGAGGCTAAGAGCATTTCCTCATAACTGTCTTACACTCCATCTCTGTCTCAGCATTTCCCTGCTGGCAACCTAACATGTGACCACCACAATCAGGCTGTGGAGCAGAGGGTGCTTCTCCATTTCCAGCTGTAGATGGTCCAGTGACTCACAGGGATTGTTCTAGCAAGGGCGGGTCCATGAACTGCAGAAATTGAGGACAATTCTGCCTGGAATGTGTACACTGGCAGGAACATTTTAACACTGTTGCAATCACCATTTCCTCATTTATTTTCTCTCCATAAGCATCTGAGGATTTTGGAGTTACGTGGTAAATTTATATCTTAGTCTATTTAAGGCCCATGTTACCATCCACCAGTCATTTGTTCATTAAATGCTCCCAGAGAATCCTCCTCCATCCCTCCAGAGCATCCCTCTTGGGTTATAATAGGGTAGTATTATGGTTTGGTTAGTGTCTGCCACTCCCAGTACATTTTAGCAAATATTTATTGATTGCCTACTGTGTGCCTGCATCCAACAGTAGGCAAAACACAGCCCCTGCTTATATTCCTGTGTGTGTGTGTGTGTGTGTGTGTGTGTGCATGAACCCACAATAAAAAGCCATGAAATAAGGATCATGAAAATAGGAATGGTTTGTTATTGTTCATCAGTGGGTCCTCAGGACCAGCACAGGACATGGCACGTGCAAGGCAACTATTTGTAGGATGATGGGTGCTTAGGACAGAATGCAGCATACAAATTGTATATATGATAGAATTCTAAAAATAGAAACATAAGCGGATATAAAGACAGAAGGACATAGACCCAAGTGTTAAAAATTACTGTCCTTTGATTGCGTATGTTTGATATGATAAGCATGCTTTCTGTGGCATATATATTTTAAATTGCATATCCCATTCAGTAAAACACCAAATAAACCCAGTGGATGGGCTGTCAGCTGTATTTTTGAGCTGTAGGGGAAAAGGATATTAGCATTTCTTGGGTGGTCATTTCTCATTGGTTGGTTACTAATGTTTTCTTAGGTAGTTTTGCATCTCCCCTCATATAGGACCCAACATGATGGGAAAAAAAAAACACAAAACAAAAAAAGAAAACAATTCCAAGAAGACATTTGGTAGTAGAATAGTGTACGGTCTATATTTGATAGGAATTCCATGACTCCATACCCCACCCCACCCCCCGCCCACCGCAAAAAAAGGAAGAAAACAAAACAAAACTAAACAAAACCCCGCCCGATAGTGGCCAACAACCAATCTATTTGAGTGCAAAAAGCACTGCGAGCCCTTTCAAAACCCGCTGAACCCAGGAACCCAGGCTTCTTTGGTGCAGCTCTCCCCGCCCAGCACGCGCTCTCGGCGCCCACACAGAGCCCCCAGGGAGCT